AAAGAAAAGAAAAGAAAAGAGAAAAAAGAAACCTAAGAAGCTGTTGTCAGATCGGAAGGCCATTGGGGATGATTTCTCAAAGAAGCAAACACATTAAGGAAAAAACTCCATACAACGCGCTCTCCTGCCTGTGTAGTCATGTAGGAGCCTACAGACCCTCAGCTAGTTAAGACTGCTTGCCAGAGCACAGGAAGCTGTGTGGAGAGGCAAGGGAAGAGAGTGTGCAGCCTGTCTTTGTGTGCTGTGCCCATCCTAGCACTCCAGCAAGTACCATGCAAAACGTGGCCTGAGAGCTCAGCTCCCCAGTATGCAGAAGGAAGGATGACACATGGCAGCAGACTCCTGCCCTAGAGAAAGCCGCTGTGCAAACCCACGAGCAGTGTTTCTGACCCCCATGCCACACTCAGGGGCCAGAAAGGTCTGCAGGAGATTAGGAGACTTTATATTCATGTTATTTCTCATGTAAAACTTTCAGCTAAGCTTTAACTTAAAAATGAAATAAAATCTTAATAGCTCTTTAAGTTTCCTCTTGATTTCCTGAATCGAATTACATTGTGTCATTGATATTTCAAGCAGCAGAATTATCTCAACATACGGACACAGTACACCACAAGTCACGAGTAAGGCTTTGCATAGCAACAGTTTGCTTTCTATAGGGTAACTGCCTAGCCGGAGGGGATCTCCTATGGAAACAGGGACTCGTGAGACATAAAGCCTATCAGCAATTATCTCTGCAACCTGAGGAATTCTTATCTGAAATAACGTTATTAGTTTGCAAGGAATACTTCCTCTTCATAGTTACTGCTACAAAATTAGAAAAAAAAAAACCCTTGGGTAAAGCCTTGAGACCAAATGCCAGCAAGCAGGGAAATTTTAGCACATTTTTTACCCTCCTCATGCACTGGTCCAAAGAATCAGCATCAAGCAGTACTTACTCTAAGGCTTGCCAAGTAGCGCTCCAGCTTCTTATTAAGTAGAAAGTAGATGGCAAGGGTGTGACTTGCCCTGTTTGAGAGCACAGTGTTGATGACATCGCTGTTCTTGTAGCCGAGCTTCTCGGTCATATGGAGCAGCACACTTTGGCTGAGGTCCTCAAGGTGAATCCTGCACACAGAGAGAGGCAGAGCGTGCCGTTCGTACCGTCCTCCCAGTGACAAAGCCTTGCCAGTTATGGAGGATGTGGTACAGCATAAAGAAGAGGCCTGAAAGGCTCAGTAACATTGGAGTGATTAGCTCTCTCCTCCTGTGAGCAGGCAAGAAAAGGCTAGACTATTTGGAAATCATGGGTTCTGCGGGAAGCCGTGACAGCTGAACGAACAGTACTCTCCCCACCATGTCCTACCCTGATGCGAAATGACACCATGATGCTCAGGATGCTGCCTGCCCTACATCTGACCAGTGAAAACTGTCAAGACCATCCGCCTGGTTTTGAAGGAAAAGAGGTAAAATCCATCTCAGGTAGCTACATCTGGCTTTCCGAAATGATTCTTTCCTTGTAATCAAACACCACTGCATTCAGATTCACCCCTTACCTGTTGCACAATATTCAAGCACTGAGTAGCTAGGGAATTCCATGCCAGAGAAAGGGGACGTACAGGGAGGTTATTACAGCAGCTTTCAAAATGGTAAAACTGCCACTATACTCATGTCAGTTAAAAGCACAAACCATGTTTTATGTCTGTGCTCTTCTATAAAGTCTATAACAGACTCAGCCAAGGCAAGAAATGAAGTAAGGCAGCCTTGTGGAAATGGCAAAGCATCTTCTCAGTCTAAGTTAAAACCAGATTTTCCAAAGAACTCTGCTCCTATTCAGACCTCTAAATGTGCTGGCCAGCTTCCCAGATGTACCTGTCAACTTCCATCCATCTCCAAAGAAATGCTGGGTTTCATTTGGTTTCTAAAGGATATTCCTTGCTCCTAATATCAAGCCTAATATCTGGTTAAGGAAACTTAGGGGAGCTTAGGTTGTGAGCTTTTTTACAACCTACCTTCCCCCTTCAAAAGATGACTCTCCACCTTTCCCACTCCTGCCCTGCTGTCCCCCTATCCTGTGCACCTGTGATGTGAGGAATGGCCTGACAGCAGTCTGGGTCTGATGTAGTGGACTTAGACAAAATGTAAAACACAGTCTGGAAAACCTCAAATAACTCTTTTCCTTTATTTGGCATGCTTATTAACATTCGTTCTGCAGCTAAGGAATGCTTGGGGTTGGTTTTTATAAAGTTCAAAAGCAAAACTTATCTTGGCCATTGCACGTTAAGGCATCTGGACAGCAAAAGAAATTCAAGCAATTTCTACTTGAAGTGCTCAGCAAAATGGGGAATTTTGCTTGCCTTCAGGGAATTTCTTTAATAAAAGCAAGCTTATAAAAAGCTTGGGAGAATATTCTCCTGAAAAAGCAGTTTCTGCCATTTTTCCACCTTATCTCCATGTTCTCCCTTTCCTACCATGTTCCTGTCTTGGGAACAACAAGTGTAACCCCCAAAATGGTGGAAGAGCACTGCAAAAACATAACACAGCTCCTTGCTTGTGTCGATTAAGACAGGAAGTGATTGTCTGCAAATTTAGCAGTGGATTTTTCAGAACTATTTTGACACATCTCACCCACATCTGAACACTAATAAAAACTTGGAGAAACTCTGTCAAAGCTGACTCTAGCGGTACTTTCCAAGGCAAGCTCAGAAGGAGTCAGGCCATGTCTTTTAATATTTCAAATTTCACAGAGTATTTTCTCTATAAGGTTTCAGTATGACAAAGTCTAGGTAGGTCATCCTTGGGGCATCGACTAATTAAACTAAAGAAATATTATCCAAAAACTGAAATGAAAAAAAAAATAATTTGTATGGCTTTTATCCTTTACAGCTTCACATAAAATCTGGGTTCAGACAGCAATATCTACTTTTCTTTTGGTTTTAGACCAAATGAGCAATGAGAAAGAAAAAAAGAAAGAAAGAAATAACCTTTTTTTTTTTCAATAGCAAAGCATAGCATTCCACATTGATGTTTCTTTTAAAAGTGCTTATAATAGGAAAGGATTATTATCATCACCATATACACACATATGCATAAGCAAACATATGCCCTCTCTATAGTTCATCACTGCATTTTCTTCTGTTCTTCCATTTGATTCGCCTGCCTTTAGGAGGGAATGATTAATAGGCACTCTATAAATAAAGAGCATTGCACAGCTATGCTATCTAATAGAGGCCGGCCTCTTCTGTAAGTAACCTACCTAACTGCACCAATGAGCAAACTCTAGAAGGGATGCTTCCACCACAACCTGACTAAAGCCTAACAGCTGCAAGCTAGGAATTAAAAAATAGAGGCATGAAAATGTACCTACAAATGCAAAAGAATTGTGAAAGCACATTCAAGCCCTATTTCTGTCTTTTTTCCTCTTCTGCAGATAAGACATGCACAGCAAAGGAATTAAATTACCCATACAGCTCTCAGTTACATTTACATTCACTTAACAGATGCCAGATTTAGTAGATTGATTAGACTCATTATGACAGTGATTTCATTAGCTTAACGACTCATTCAGTTTACACTTGTTTTCCCTTTCTTTACCATACAATGTTCATATGTACCATACTTCAGTACAGTCCAACGCACCATAGAAACTCAGATTTCCTTTTGTTGGACAGCATATTACACAAATTAACTCAACTGCCCTTAATTTTGGGGCAGTAATGTCAAGATAATGGGCCTGCCTGTTCTCATTCTTATTCCTTGTAAAACAACTGTTTGTAGGCGCCACGTTTATATTCTGTCCACGTAGGTCTGGGGATTGCAGGCAGCTGGCCTCACAGTTGCCCTCCCTGTTTCAGTGGATGGCTCTAGTGATGCCTCCAGGCATCCAAGCTGCTCAATATCTATCCAGCCATATTTTGAAAGAGACCTGTCAGTCTCCTCAGGTCAAAGAACAGCGCAGTCACAGCGATTCTCCACAATGCAGTACTTGAAAGTTAAGACACGGCCTTTGGAAGGGAAATGCTTGCTGCTAAATTAGGGCACCTCTGTTCCCTGTCAATGCAGAGGGAAAGGGAGGTGACTCAGGTAGGAGCCTGGACATGGAGGCTGCGACCCATAAGCCAGCCAACAGCAATGTTAGAGGGAAAGGTCTCCAAAAAATTCCTAAAGGCTGTCCGGAGATTCAGGGCTCAAACTGATTTTCTGTGCTCAGATCTCAAGATGATCAAGCAGTGGCAGCGCTCATCACTTGCTTCAACAGGAACAGAGGGGTGCTGCAGGTGCCTCTCAGCCCCACAGGGGTTGGACCCCTGGCTCTGAAACACACTCTATTCATCTGGCTAGAAGTGAAGCACAAGGGAAAACAGGTGGGGGCCACTCTTACCAGCAAAGCTGTCACCTGGGCTGAATGCTGAAGGCTGGCTGTATGCACGGCTTGAGTGTGCCTATGGGACCGAGTCCTTCAGGGCACCGACACAAAAAGATGGCCTGGTTGGTGAATACCAAATCATTTTTGGGTGGAGGACAGTAGTTCAGACATTCAAACAAAAGTTGTCATGCCTCTAGGCATATGCTACATCTGGTATCCAGCAACCAAGTACACTACAGCGGGGTGGAAGTTAGGATCTTCACTCAGGGACTCTCCTCTTAGCAAGTTAGGACAGAAATTTTGGGGCACTACCGAACTTTAAGCATCAAAATTAGGCTTTAAGTTGCTGTCTTTGCCTCACTGTTCCTTAGGAACTTGGCCTGCAAGCTAGTAACTCCTACAGTTAATCTTCTGCAGGCACTAGGTCGTGCATGAGACACAGCTGGAGGGCTTTGATACAGGAAGGCGGTTTTATCTGATCAAATATAGACATAAATTTCTAAGTGAGTTGCCTGAAGCTCCATTTACAGTCACTGGAGAGGAACTTGGATCTCCTGGGCACAAAGTCATCCTATTGCAGTATCAAAAAGAAGTCAGATGAATCATTCTGTAACAAGTGCCCTTATTTCTCTCCATTGATTGCAACGAGAGCCCAGGCTGGCTGGCTCATGTGTCAACTCTACACTGCAGATGTTTAAAGTCAAGCAAGATTACTCCTAACCAAAGTGGACCACAAGTATCTTTCTTTCTTTTTCTTTTTCCCTAGATGGATGCTTGACTGAGATTCGTTCTCTGTTTGCATTTAGTCATGCATTCAGCACTGCACAGGTTTTCAAGATCAACAACCAACAAAGCAACATCATTTAACTCTTGACCTTTCTCACCACGGTCTGTGTATCTACCTAACCCACAGAATGTCACGTGTGTATCAAAAACAGGCATAGACTCTACTGGAAAACTAGTTTGGCTTTTACTGACAAACAAGGAGAAGATCAGAACTACCTGTCACATGTACCCACTGCAAAGTCTGCAGCTAACTAATCATATGATCTGCACCCCAGATCACCCTGCAAACAATGCATTGTAGCCAGCTTCTAATTTAAGGTATTTCAAGCAACGCATATTCAATGGCCAATCCTAACAACTTTTAGGATGGAGTCACCAAAGCAATCCCAGGAAATACACTGGGATGCTGTCACACAAATGGGACTGAAAAACCAGAGTTGTTCACACTTTAACATACATAATGTACATACACTCTGGCAGGCTTTCTCCACTCTTTCACACAGTACCTGTTGGGATATGTGACATTAGGTGGTGCTCTTCCAGGGTAATTCTCATTAAGCCATCGATTTGCCAGTGCCTGTTGGATGTTTGGTCTCTTTGCAGGATCTGGCTCTAGTAGAGATCGTAGAAAGTTTACGGCCGCTGTGAAGAAAGCAAGAAAAAAGTGAATAGCTGTGTCATCTGCTTTATGACTTAACACAGTAGTTGAGTTACTACAGGTGTGTAGCCTGACCAAGAATATACTGAAAAGGAACACTTTCCTTATGGTATGCTCTAACGTCCTTGAGAAAAAGGAAAAACTGATAAGGGATTAGTAAGTAAAATAAACAACGATTTATAGTCACAATGATTTATAGAGTCATAAAGGAGAGGAGAAAAAGCACCTTTTGTTTCACAATTTGTTTGAAGTTTCTGAGCAGGTTAGCCAAAACTTAATTTTTGTATGAGGACAAGAGGCTGGAGTCAGGTCAGAGGCAAATCACTCAAAATCTGTGTTTAAAGTAGAAGGAGATGGACTGGGCAGGAGGGGAGCAGAGGGATGCACAGCTGGGAGAGAAGACATGGAGAACTGGGCTCGCTTTGACAGTATAAGGACAAATTCTCTCCTGGCTTCCATCCAACCTACAATTAGTTGCAGGAGGTTCTAGCCAAATTAAAAGAGTACAGTGAAATTAATGGGCTTCGTTCTGTTTTCAGATACTGAACCTTCAACTTTCAGTGACATTCAACCATCCCTTGGGATTTTCTTGCAAAAACCCTCAAAGTACTTTTCTGGTATCTTTAAGTCATGTGCTTCTTATATGGTTAGAAGCAATGAAATCAAGTGATTTGCTTAAAGACTCACAAGAAGTGCCTATCTGAGCTGAAAATAAACTCTGTTTTAACTAGGTCTGGTCTTTATTCCTCAAATTATCATGGCTAGATTCAGTTTATCAGCTACAAGATAGTAAAGAGTTAACCGTGTCCTCTACAATTCCCTGCACAAAAGATAAAGAAACCTAATTCTGGGAAAACCACAATCAGAATTATTTTGTAGAGGAGAGACAGTCAAGTGAGACGATGCCACGTGAGTCCCAAATTAAGTCAATGGCAAGCAAGAGGCAGAAGTGATGGCTGCAGCACAGTTTTCTCCAGGTCAGATGGACAGGACCTTGGGGGCTTTTTTCCACCTTCTTCCACAGCAGAGCTGCAGTTCCCCTTCCATGCTCTCCTGAGTGTGTCGTGCCTAGCCGTCACCTTATTAGCACAGGTGCCCTGGGCAGTGGCAGCACAGGAGCACTGTGGCACAGGATGGTGTCTCCTGGGTTAGCTGCAGTACAGCCTTGCCAACACAGCTACTTCAGCTCAGTGCAGGCAAATCAAACCCCATAAAGGCTTGCATCACAAAGCAGATCAAACTGGATTTGGTAACGCCTCAATGCTAGAAAACTGCGAAATTATGAGCCAGCCTTCTCATTCAGCTTTACAGTCATTTGGTCTCACCACCACAGCATGCTCACTCGGCACCATGCCATCCCCTACTCTGAAGCAAAGCAGCCGCGACATGTCTTCTCCACCAGCAATACAGTGAAACCCTCGTGAATCCCTGTTTTCATATGCAATTTAAGGAGAATAATACGCCTGCTGGTGAGGCCACGACGTCCTCATCTGAAAAGGGCATAAAAGTTAACCTAGGCACAGCACTGCTGCCCTTCACAGGTTCTCCTCTATGAGACTGCTGCCTCCTCCATGTTTGCCTGGCTGTCCTCCCAAGCATTTTTACCACTCCAAGCCCACCTGCATCACCCCCCATGCACCGCATGGGACAGGACGGCTGGGCTGATGCGCCAGGGCAGGACAGTGGACGAGGAAGGGTTTCTCCTCAAATAAATCAAGGTTAGATGCAATAGCTGCCAACTCCTAACAGCTTGGGTAACCTTGGCATTCAACACCCTGCAATAATCAAGTATCAGTTGGAGAGGGCCCTGAAAGGCTATCCACTTCAACGCAGGTCTACCGTCAAGAAGCTTATATGTGGAAGAGAGATAGTTACAATTATGTATTTACTGGTTCAGCTATGCATTGGCTGGATTTTTTCTAAGCTCTCTCCACAAATCACTGATTTATATAAGATTACTTAAATCTTTCCCAACATTGTTTTTCTTCTCCTACAACAGCAATATCGCAGAAAAGGAAAAGCCTTCAACCAAGTTCATAAACCTGCTGGAAGCTGATGCTACAGCTGTTCTCCATATGTCCTGAGTGGCCCCCATCACACCTCTCGGGTGCAGAACCCCCCATTAGGACAAACAACAAATGCCTTGTTCTTCCATTTCATCTCCTCTCTCTCCAGTACTTTCCCCATCTCTGTGTTAGAAACCACATGCATCCACGGGTTCAGAGCTAAATAAATAACCCCTCCCCAAACCAACACCCTCCTCCTCCATCACCACTACCCTCGGTCCCCAAATCAGCTAATGTCTTCTTAAAAATCTTACTTTTTTGCTCCCCCTCGGCAAAAGGCTGACTAATTAAATGAAGCCTGCAAAGCACCATAGAAAACAACAGATCCAGATCAGTAGAAACCAATTCTAGAGAGAAGATCCACCCCCAGAAGGCTCCTTGGCTGGCCAGACCCAGATGACACGGAAGAGTTGAGTAACAGCACCTTGGCTGATTTGAGTTGTCAGATGGGACGAGGAGGAGAGAAGCCTTTTCCAGTTAGCCACGCAGCTGTGGGACAGCAAAATTAGTCCCCCAGGGAGAAAACATGAAGCTGCCCAACCTATTTTCACACCCAATGCGTCTGAAGCCATTTCTGAGGGTGTGTCTGGTTATAATTAGTTATACAGCTATTGCTTACAAAACCAGCCAGAGAAAATGCAATGAGGTCATTTCACAAGCCACAAGCAAGTTTCACCTAATAAAATCCTTCCTCCAAACTACAGGCATGGATAGACAATGGCTTTTCTTCTCATCTCCACTTCACTCCTCTGTTCCAGAAGGAAGACCATGAGCATACAGAAGCAGTAAATTGACAAAAAAAAAGGTGCAAGGTGAATATCAACTTCCTGAGCAACTGAACTCTGCTCACCTAAAATCAATAATCAGATAGCTGTGTTGTTTAAGAAGCTTAATGAAAACCAGTTTCCTAAATGGGAACATCAAACACTAACTCCAAATTTTCCCTGTTGCTACACAGTTCCTTTGGGCACCCATGGTCACCCAACATTTTAACTAACACAAATAAAATACGCTCTTGCTTAGTGATAAGACTGGCTACTTTTACAATGGGACTGTGTGTTCAGTAACTGTGAAATTAAATATTGAAAGACAATATACTGAACAAGCAAAACAGACTGCTGCAAAAAATGTCCGCTGTATATGTGGATTTACAGAAAAAGAAAACCCAATTAAAGAAAAAGATCCATAAACCTAAGATGTTAACACAACAATTCGCAGAGCAAAGGAGCAGAGTTTCTACCTACTGACCCCTATTTGTTCTGTGGCAAGAACAAACGTCATCTTAAATCACAGTTTGCCATGTCAGTGAACGTGCAAGGCCACTGACTTAGATCAAGAACCGATGCGTACCTTTGTTCACAGTAAGTAAAGCTTAACACGTTTAAATCTATTCCATTAATTTGCCAACACCTCTGAAAGTTCAAGCTGCTATAGTTCTCACGGGATAAACAAAATACCATTTTGACTAGAGACCACAGTGTCAGTGAGCTACAAATGCTACAGAGACGCATTTGTAAGAAAAATTGATCTCCATTATAAAATGGCAGGATGAATGAAACAGTAAAATGAAACCTGTCAAAAGTAATATTATCTTTTTTGCTACCCAAGGTCTGCTCTTTTACAGGCCTTTTGTGGGTGATTCAGCCTTTAACAGAAGAGTTGTCCCAGTGAAGTCAGTGAAACCTCCCACTGAAAGACAACTGAAAGAAAACAATTATTTGGGATACAGTCCATTGGTTGAAAGACACTACACAGCCAATAAAAGCCTTTATTGGTAAAAGCCTCACTCTCAGAGGTAAGTTTGGTAAATTTTTTGCCAAACTTCCAAAATGTTTACTATGACATGCAAGTCCCTGAATTCAAGAGAAACTTTGCAATTGATACAGGATTTGGCATCTAGATCAGCACAGCACAAAGCAGTCAGTATAATCTTTCTTTTAATTTACTCAGTGGGGCTTTAGAGCATGTGCTAGAACACTAAAATAGCCATTTTGTGCAACTGAATCCTAACGGGAAGTCTCCGGAATGGAAATACCAAACACTCTAATTGTGTCAAATAGACGGCAAGACTTGCAGCATCCCAGCTCACTTGTAAACCTCACACTTTACAACATACCAGCAATATGAAATGCTGGCAGGCCAAGTGTACTTCATATAGATGCTGAGTGAACAAGGAACAGCATACTCCACCTGATCCATGGACAACCCGTATGAGAAAGCCCTTAACCACCTACTTCTTCCATATGCAGGTAGATCTGTATTTGGAGAATTCATTCTGTGACACAACTTCCAAGGGCTTTTTCTTATATCTGGTAACAATTGTTGCCATCCTTAGTGTACTGAGTGAAAATGTATGCTCTGTTACCCTTTTTCTGTTTGGAATCTTTTAATTTTATTGAATGTCCCTTGTAAACAGGCTGACGGATAAGGAGAACAGAAGCTCTCCATGAACAACAAATTTAGCATACAAAAATAAAACCCAACTACAAACCAGAGTTTGTTCCAAATGCTGACAACGGTCTTGCTATAAGCTGAAAAATTATTCTGTTGCCTAGTGACATGGCTTTGAAGCAGGAATTAATATTTCTAATACTAATACATCAACAATTTTGCATTTTGTGAACACACAAAGGTTATCACAAGTCATGGTCCCAAAATAACTTTTCGTGTACATGTCATTATTCCATAAAAAATATAAGGTCATTTGAGGTAGCTTATCACTCAACCCTAGTCATGGTAATGCCCAGGAATCTGTTATTCCAAAATAATGTGTTCATGCATCCATACCCTACGTTAAAATCATCTGAACATGCAAAACTGACCAACTGCTCTACAAAAGCAATTTCACAGGTTTGTTCTTCTCTCATATACAGCACAACTTGGCACTGCTCCAGCTCACATACCAAAGTCAAAGCAAAAGGAGTTATACTACAGCAACTCATGCAGGTCTTTTGGAGACTAAAATGAAAAAAAAAGAGTATTTTTCACAATTAGTGTGCCGTGTCAGTAGTAGGACTCACAATCCAGAATTCAACGCAATGATTCTGACTGACTGGATCTGAATAGGTCCCAGTACACCCTCTTGATTACCTGTAGAGAGCTGGGTGGGAAAAGGGTTCATATCTTTGTCCACCATTTTCTGGTATAAAGCTCTCAAGCTGAATGGCTCCACAGTAAAAGGTAATGTTCCAGTCAACATTGCATACATGTTCACCCCACTAAAAGAAAACACAGACAAAATGAAACCAAAATGATCAGGAACAAGGAAAAAATTAGGCTTAGGTCTTACTGACTGTACTTCATCTTTAATGTCTGACAGCCATTAAAAAAGACAAAAACCCGCTCTCTCTTCTCTTGCACACAACGCTTTGGCCAAGAACTCCCAGAGTTTTGCTCATGGAGGGTCACACAATCTGTAGGACATAAGCTGGGAGCCACAGAACTGAGCCCAGCTTTTAGGCAACTCCTCGGCTAAATGCCATGCCACAATTAAGTCTCTCCTCAGGCTACATAAACATGCTGCTTTTGGAGGCCTTGTCCTGGTGCTGCCCCGGGTGTGGAATGACTGTCTGCACTAATGGGGACATCACAGGTCCTGGTTCAGTGCCCAAAGTTGACCTCCACGGCCTCTTATGCAGCCCAAAGACTAGGTGTGGAAAATTACACTTTTCAGAGCAGAAAACTTACTGCCTGTTTATGCCCAGCAAAGTCAGCAATGAAAAGCGGGTTGGGCACTCCTGTTTTTTCCTCTTAAAAGGGCTTTAAATTTAATTTGAGTGGAATTCCTCCCTTTTGAGTATTTCTTCTCCCAGTCTGCTGAACACATGTATGTGAACAGACAGAAACTAAACCAGTGTGCTGTCACGAACTGTGATCACAGACAGTATTTGTTCAGCTATGAGGAAGGGTAGGAGTTAACCATATTTTCTCTTTTTATTATCAAAAAAAGAGCAGGACATTATTACTGGAGAAGTTTAAATGTTCACAAGAACGACTGTGCTCTGTTTGTCTGCATTCCTCAGGGCTGGTGCTCTCAACCCTGATGAGGACGGATGGCCTACTGCTGTAGTGAGAAATCTTTCTTAGCACTAGTAGTACTTATACCATACTTCACATTTTCCAAGCATTCCAAATACATCAACTTGGGAACTGTCATAATTCTGTTATTCCATTAAAATTTATTCAAATGTTATTATCTCCACTAGGTGAGGGAAAATCTATTGATACTAAAGAAAAAGCTAAAACTCAACTGGCTTGAACTAATTCCTCTCCAGGACTGACAAGGATGACCGGCACCATGTCCATGGTCAACAGGAGAGCGCTGGGAGTTGTGCAGTCTAAAACAGTACTGCAGTCATTGACTCCAAAACATCTTTCTGGCTTACTCTACCTCTGGCACCGGGGACTTCTGTTTGTTCTTTTGCCTGAACACTAGTAAGCTCACAAAGGCTCAAAAATTTTCTGGCCATTTTTATTTCCCCTTTAACAGCTGTGCTTTCAAAGCAATGACCTGACTCGATTTCACATTTCTTGTTGGACTGGACTGCACATAGTGCACAGAGCCCATGTGAATGCTTGAGGAAAATGCTTGGGGAAAACTAAAAAAGCTGCTGGTCTTCTTGTGCCAGTCATGTCTTCTACTATGTCTGAACAACAGTTATGCTTACTGCAATCTCTCCATGCTATATCTTCTATCAATCTATATACAGGTACTTAAAGATCTATTTCAAAACCAAGGTATCTGCATAATTTACTTCACAGAGTCACACTAGTTAAACAGATTTTCTTGCTCCGAGTAGCCAAATACATGAATAATGTTTCTCATTTCAGCAATGGTTAATGATGACAGTAATAACAATTATAACTGGAGAAGTAACTCACATGGACCAAACGTCTATTTTGGGCCCGTATTTTTTCCTTGCCAGAAGTTCAGGGGCTGCATATGCTGGGCTCCCACACTGGGTGCTGAATGGATCAGAATAACCCAAGATGCCTGCACAGTTGCTCAATCCAAAGTCTGTGAAAGGCACAGAGACAGAGTTATGAAAGAGACAGATACAGTAAAACCATGCTGGAACACAAGGGGAAAAAAAAAAGCACATTTTTTTCCAAAAGCTAAGCAACGAACTGCCTAAGAAAAAGATCATCCACATGCAAAAATTCTATATAATTTGTTTCTCTGAGATGCCAAATAACCAGAGATTTCCACAAACAATAAAAAAGTCTTAAAACATGCACAATTATCGATTTCATACACAAAGCAACTACATTTCACTGTGAACTGGATGGCAACAACCAGAGTTGAGCTTGCCCCAGGCACTACGTGATGTGCATGGGGCAGAAAGCTACCTCGGGCTGTTGTGGATTCCATACTGCTGCAGTATGCTACGTAGAGGCCAAGTTTAAGTGGGACTTCTTTAACATTCTCCTCTAAATCATGTAAATGAACCATCAGATGTAAGGTGGTGGGGGCTGCTCTCTGGGACTATTGTGGCAATGCACAAGTGCATAGGGTTGCAGAGTCAGCATTTCAGCTCTGAAATAACACAGAGAGATCTTGGAGCAAGAAGGGGAATGTTTTGATTTGCCCCCCCCCCCCCCTTCCCAACGTCTGCCTTGAATTATTGTATTTCTGGCCCCTGGGTGTATCTAATGCTTTTTTGCTGGCAATAATAACAAGTGACTGGCAAAGGCTGGCACTATGAGCTGATCAGAGACAAGAGGCAGCCTCTCCATACTGACAGAAGCTGCAGCTTCTCAAGTGCTCTCCACCAGTGCAAGCCCAGGCTGGTGCCGAGAAGGGTGTTCCCCCAATCTCCCTTGTCTGCTCCAGTGCTGGTATGGCTGCAGGCTGAGCTGGGTTTAAGAAAGGGTCTTAAAAATTAAACCACTAAGCAAGGAAAGAAAGGCAGACAGAGTCGCACCAGTGGCAGAAGTGGCTTAGGGCAACGTGCAAGCCCACCCTGCCTAATAGATGCTTGGCTTGGGAGAATGCAATTATGAAACCACAGCCTGAGAGACAACATGGGAAGGCGAGGAGAGGTTGCAGAGGGTCTTGAAAGTGAAGTCAAACAACTTGACATGATAAGGGGAAGAAGTAAGACAAAGCTTGCAAGTAGGAGGATGGCATGGGAAAATCTGACAGGCTGGAAGAACAGCCTTTGCTGCAGGGCAACATATCAAGGAGCAGAGGCTCTAGAGAGGTCACAATCAAAGATGTTCACATTTATTAATAACTTGTTATTGTTGCAACAACAAAAATACTGCTATTAAGAACACTGACATGTTCTGTTGCTTTTTTTAATCCAGTCTTCTGAAAAATTTCCAGAATGCATGTGTGTTTAAAATGAAAACTGTCTTATACATAAATGAGGCAGTCCGGAGAAGCAGACCACTGAATTCTCTTCCTATAGGCTTGTGTCTTGCATCCACATGTCTTGTAAAACAGCAGCTTTCTGGGTGTGCTATCCACCTGCTTAGCTGGGCCAAAAGCATCACATCTTGCAGGTCAAATGTAGCAGGCAACTGTTGAGCCCATGCAATACTCTCTCTCTACAAAGTCATTAATTTGGGTCTCTCTCCTTTATCTGCCTACTTATTTGCACAAGACTTGAAGTAGTGGCCTGTCCTTTAGCTTTTATCCCATGTTAAATTTCGCTGAAACTAGACAGGAGTTCCTCAAGGTACTAGAAGAGCCCTGACAGGACGGTCACATAAACCTTGTTCCCTTACAAAACCAAGAGAAAAAATAATAATGCTTACAAAAAAAAGTGATTATAAAGACGACTATGTAAGCTGGAGTGCCTAAAGGACTGCATAGCGCTTTTCACTTGATTGGCTGCAGCTCTGAGACTGGCTGCAGCTCTGAGACTGGCTGCAGCTCTGAGAGCGAGACAAGCACAAGAGAGACACGAATCACCATATTCAACATCTGAAGAGGCTCAAAGGGGTTTTGCTGGAGAACATTGTCAAAACCGAAGGGAGGCTCAAGACAACTTCTTTGCCTCTGATGGAAAACAATTGTCTCTGGACACTGCTTAATCAACTCTGCTAGATATGCGTTATCCCTGGGGCTTATACAAATACTTCCGAGGATCCATTTACTTAATTAACGTATTTATTAGCTATGGCCTGGGATGAGTTATGTTAATGTAAAATACTTTTAAAAACTCCTAGAAATAATATCTCCACACAGTATTACTCATGGTCTTTACCCTACTGTGTCATACCACCTCAAAATTACGTGACTGTAATGCAATGTTTTACAATCAAAGTATTCAAAGGCTATATTCTGAGATAGTGTAAATCCTTTTATCATTTATCAATCGAAGTATACTCTAGTGGAGGTTTTCATTATCTTATTTGCTTGAACTATAAACACCTTATCAACTTTTTTTCAGCTCATTCATTTAATCTAGGCTGCTATACTCTTTCCTGCTGCCTGCTGAAATGCTGAATGCATGCAAACACATACATACTGGGGACAGGGATTTTACTGCAAAAGAAATGGGAATATTGTTATTAACACCGTGGCAGCACATCATGATCGCAGAGTGATTTTTATTATGGATGCACTGCTGATCTTGATAAGAATGGTATTACCACCAGCACTGAAAATTTCACTGCCATTCCTGCCTCTGTCTTGGGCTTCCTTTCAATAAGCTGAACTAATTATAGAATTCAGATCAAAGGCCACACTTGGTTTTCCAAAATAAATATTATGACATGGAAACTCCACCACCCCCACTGTTTGTACTATCGAAGTATCGCATTACACTACTACTCTTTAACGCCTCCAGAAAATCAACA